GCGCTAGACGAGACGTAGCCTATCTCCATGCGCCGGCACGGTGCATAATTTACAGCCTCCGCGACCGGCGAGCTTCAATTTATGCGGAGCGCCAACTATTTGTGGCGTGGGAAGCGTAAGAAGTCAAGGTGCGTTACGCTAGGTAGGGCCCCTGGCCAAGGTGACGAAAGCGGAGGGGAACGAAACTGCTTGCGTGTACAGTGAATTTTTTTGAAAATGCGTGTACAATGAATTTGCTCCCACCAAATCTCGCTGTAAATAACAGTAATTTGCATACAAATGCTAGTAACTTATTTTAATTCAGTGATATTTTTTTTTATTAAAATTTTTTTTAATTAAGTCGCATAATACATTAACGAGATGAAATAAAATATAAAAGATAGTTATTTTTTATTATGTAATTAAAATAAAAAAAATACTAGTAGCTTATTTATACTAAAAAATGTTTTGGTGTTACTTTTGGTTATAGAATCAGAAATATTTTTTTTTTCAAAAAATATAAATTATTGTTAAATCTTTAATTTAAAGATAAAATTATAATTTTTATAGCAATAAAGTTTTTTGAATATGAATAAAAAAAAGATAATAAAAATCCAAAAATAATATTTTTGGCAACAAGAGTCCCTAGAATTGGTTTTGGATATTTACTTACATTTTATTATCTATATGTCTAAGGTTCTTTTTTTTTTTTTTTAAATCAAACCTTGAAAATTTTAATTTTTATAATCTGTTTTCATCATAAATATGGAAGTTTAATGTGACATTATTCTCAAGAAAAAAAAAAATAACGATTCACATGTTTTATTAGAAATTGAATGTATATCATCAAGTTAATCCTAATTGTTGAGAGTTATGATGGTAGGTTTTATATTAATAAAATGTGTGAATCATTTTCTCAAATTTAATTAAGCTTGACTCTAACTAATGAAAACATGTTTAAAAATAATAGCTATTCCGCAAACGCTTAAAAAAAATACTAACAGTCTATTCATTAAAAAGAAAAAAGAAAATCATATGCTCACTCTTTTATATATATATACATAACAAAAAATTGAAAAATGATTTTATTTTATTTTTTTTGTTGTCTTGGTTTAAAAAATAAGAATTTGCCTTTAAGAATTTAATTTGATCTAATAATAAATATAAAAATTGTCTGTTTAAACAAAGGAAAAAGGTGGTCGTGCTTTGGAATCAATCTTTAGTAAAGGAAATTCCATGTCATTTCATTGGTATTTGAGGATCTCAATTTAAGCCTTTTACTGGTGTGGTGATGGGCGGAAAGAGGCCCACTGCTCGACCAATGCAGTTTCTTCGAATAGGGCCCTCCTGGTGGCACTAGTGGTAATTTCCTTGGAGCTAGGAACATTGGTCTTAAGCATCATATCATTTTCTAAAGAATATTCTCCTTGTAATACGAGGCATTTCCCTTGTTAGTACAATCTAGGTTTCCTTTGGAAGGATTCAATTTTGATTTTAAAATTTAAATACAAGTAATATATAAAACCTAGAGAGTAGTAGGGAGATAACATTATGTTTTTTAAAATATACATTAGAAATTTAATTATTTGATATTACAAAATTTTAAAATTCTAATATTAACTCTAAATTAAAAATTTTAAATTAATGAATATCAATTTCGCGAAACTCTTGTTAGTGGGAAAATAACATTATGTTTAATTTTGTTGGTTGTTGCCTAATTATCATGATTCAAGGTTATCACTAAACTCCATTTATTGCCTAATTAAAAATTTGTAATAACATATTTGAATTAAGAAAAATAAAATGAGGAAGAAAAAATATGGAACTTGATTATCAATATATATATATATATAATAAGAGAGGAGAGGAAAAAAATTTTCAGTTACTTTATTTCATAAGGAGCGAATAAAGACATTATTCTTCTATTCCCCTCCCCCTTATTCATCTCAACCTAAACATACCATGCTTGACTGAACTGATTTTGGACCTATAACTAAAATTTCATGTTATTTTGCCATCCAGATCCACAATGACAACAAATGGAGTTTGAAAAAGGCTCACAAATTTATGATTGAAACTCATCATGGGATATTAATTAATAAAGGGCGAAATAATGAGCATAACCTTCTTAAACAATGACATTAGATGTTCTACACAAAAGTGTCCAACAATATAATTCTAAATATTAAATTATCAAAATGATGAGCAGCAGTCCAAAAGTAGTCTAAAAACTCTTATTGCATATCTACTAAATAAATTTCCCATCCACTAAATATCTGCAAGTTGCCTGCAAAAAATAAATAAATAAACTGGTTAACACCACATAAACTCATGTTATATATACTTATAAACATAATGAACAAAAGAAATATTAGATGACCAACTTACCCATCTTGAACGGCACGATCTGTTATATCCGGAGAATGTATTTCTCTATACCTAGGATTTGTTGGTGGATGGTGTGTGATGCTTCCGAAGAGTGTGATTGACTGATTGTCCATGTTCAGGTTTGTGAGTGAATTCATAATCTAGGTGAACAAAGGCGCGCTCGATCTCAGGCAGCTCCTCAAGCTTCTCCTGCAGGGCTTCACCAATGTCATGGGCCTCCCGCAAGGGCATCGTTGCTGGAAATACTATGTCAACCTCCACAAAGTAGTGAGACCCGAAGGTGTAAGCACGGACTGTATCAATATGTCTTATGGCCCTGTGGTGGTTCCAGCACAGGTAGGTGAGTTTCTGAAGATGTTCTGGTGTAGCAGATCTTCCAACCAGTGAGTTCACATTTTCCAACACCGTCATTGACCATCTGCGGATGGTGTACAAGGCGAGCTGCAGAAAGTTCAAACTTTTTTTCATAAACATGCAACGGTGCAGTTAAGGAAATGTAGTGTAATTTGTGAATTAAATCTATCAAATTAGTAATGGGTGACTAGGGGAAAGTGTCTAAAATATATGACCAACATTGGTGTTACAATGCATATGGGAAAGCTTAGGTCAAAATCTCACTTGACATGCTCATTTTAAAGGTTTAAAGA